CCATATATTCATAGAAAGATATTACTGGTAGCACACACCTAGTTTCTGTGGGTATAAAGCCTTTAGGCTGTGGTACTCTGAAAGATTCTGTTGAAAAACATGATTATAGTTTGAATGCCTAGACCACAGAAACTGGTTCTTTACTGGGGTCAGGATAGAGAGACTTTTGCCTCTGAGCAGTTTTAGGTCTGAAGGCTTTTGCCCATGTGTGGGGAATCAAAGAATTTACCAAGAGTTAGTATGGCAGATGAGAAAGTAAAGGTTTCTAAGAAAGGAAAAGGACCAGACAGCACGGGCAGCATCAGTCCAATAGGATAATTGGAGCCTTTTGGGTTTTTTTTGAAAGGCCAGACCTGGGGAAGGAGGAAGCACTGTAGGAAGCTGGGCCCGGGGAGGGTAGTACAGGTTCTGTGTGTGTTTGCTCAGCATGCTGACCAGGGTGTAAAATTTTGCTTAGGACTCTGTCAGTGTGTGGGTATTGTGGCTTCTCAGAAAAGAACAGAGGAATTACTAGCTGGGGCTGGAAAAAAATAAGCAAAACTAGAGGAGAACCTGTACCACAGTCAGTTTAGAAACAAAATGAAGTCACAACTGATGCAGTGGTTTGTTGCTTCTTCCCAGATAACCAAGTGTGAGATGGGTCAAGAACTCAGCTCTTTCCTTGTTCTTCTGTGTAGGTCACTGGCAGTGCTTTCTTCCTGCTCCTTTTCCCTCCCCTTCATTTCTGCCTCCCTTTTTTTCCTCTCTTTTCTTTCTTCCTCTCTCAATTTCCTTGCCTTCCTTTTTCCTCTTCTTCCTCTTTCCTCTTCTCATTCCCTTCACCCCCCTCCATCCTTTCAATAATTATTATTCCCACCTCATGCATGTGGAAGTCACAGAGGGAAACATGAGTTAAACCCTGACCTGGTCCTCACATAGAACTGAGATGAGAGTCCCAGACAAGACAGCGTGGTCACAATTATACAAGCAAGGCCTTTCTCAGAGCGCTGAGGACTGGCCCCAGAAGAAGCAAGTAGCCCCCTATCATCCTAATTGTGGCTGTAATTAGAAAAATAGAAGAAATGTACAAGAATGAATGTTGAGAAATATTTCTGCTTTTTTAAAAAAAGTTTTTTTCTTAAGACTTAAGTTTCCTCAACTACTGAATTAAGGAATCTTGTCATTTTTTGCAAGGGATGTTGATGGTAATCGGATTCACTTGTCAGATTTATCATGGAAAATTTCTTGTGCCTCTCTCAGAAGCTACAGCTTGCCAAGAGAGCACTTCAAGCCCTAGTTCATCTGCTAATGCACTGTCAGTGGGCTGAGGAAGGTTCAGTGCCAACAATTCATGAGTCCTTTTACAAGCTAGGACTACCACATCATTTCAGTGTGGAAGATAGTGCTATGTGCATGCTCTTTCATGTGACAGTTATGACTCCTTTAGCTTCTTTGGCTTATTCTGTCTTAATTCTCCCCTCCACAGTAACAAAGGGCACATCTTTCTGACTAGAACATAATTTATATAATATGAGAAAATCAAGTGAAACTCTAAGCTTGTTTCAGCTTTAAAAGCTGATTACTGTGAGTTGTAAATAGATGCTTAGTGGAGTGATGAACCAAAACATGTTTTCCTTTGACTTGCTGCTTGCAACTCCAAGCTTCCAGACTTTTGGAAACATAACACTTTGGTTGCCGGTAAAAACAGAAGGATGAAACTGAATTCTTTTTAGAAAGAGAATCAGAAACATAGGAATCACATTATTAAAAAAAAAAAACACTTTTTTAAATGCCACATTTAAGATCAGCACTTGAGACCAGTTTGGGAACCAGTTACTTTTCTTAGAGGAGATTCTCAGATTTCCTTACTACATTCTTCCTATAGAAAGCTGTTTCAACTTAGATAGATAGATAGATAGATAGATAGATAGATAGATAGATAGATAGATAGATAGATAGATAATATGTATATGTATATATAATATAGACTATATATATTTAACTATATGTAACAATATTAATTATTTAGTAAGAAATGAAGTAAATAATATTTGGAAGAAGAATCTGAGTATGTTTTTAATTGATGCTGATGAGTCTCCATTGAGATTTGGTCATTTTGCAAATTATTTTATATTCACTTGTGAATACAAATTTTCAAGCTTGATGCCAATTATTTGTGCATACTTGGGTGATTTTTGTGTTAGAGTGTTATGATTCAGCTTCACAAGAGGTTTAATTAACAAACATTGTGGGAAGAAAAGCTTTTCATGCCTTGGTTTAAATGAATTTAAAATAAATAGCACTGTGAAATCACTAGGATGGGAGAGTGCTGTAATGAATCATACCAAATGAGGAGATATGGATTGCAGGGAACATGGGACAGTAACATGTTTCTTGGTGTCATTTTCACCCTTAGTTTGTTTGAGAAAAATGGATAGTAATTGATGTCAGGGAGCATTTTCTTTTCTTATAGAAAATGTCTTGATTGGGTTTGTCTTACTCTCTGTTCCATATTTAATTTCCAAGCAAATAGTCTCAGGTTTGAAATGGCTTGATTATGGTAATTTGAACCTTCCTTCTTTCCTGATCCCATCGTTTAAATACTATCCTCTATTTGAAGTCCTAAAAAATAAAGAAGTCATAAGTAACTCCATAGATGAAGTCATTTATTTTTAGTCAGTTCTCAATGTTTCCTAATGTTCCCTCTCTACCTAGTTGTTGCTTTTTTTAATAATACAGTTTGTGCTTTATTTTCTAGTAGAAATTTAAAATGCTGAATATATTTCATTGTTTATGTTTTGCCTTTAAAATTGGTGAAATGAACCAAATACCAGTGGCTTATGATTGTAAACCTAGCTACTCATGAGGCTGATCAGGGTTTCCAGCCCTGGCAGGAAAAGTTATGAGACTCTTATCTCCAATAAACTATTCAGAAAAAGCTTTAAGTGGCACTGTGGCTCAAGTGGTAGAGCACTAGCCTTGAGCACAGAGAGGCTCAGGGACAGTGCCCAGGCTTTGAGTTCAAACCCCATGATTGGTGAAAAAAGTGATGGCTTTACCAGAAAACTAATTATTAATATCTAGAAAAGTAGAAGCTATGGGACCATGTCACATAGCATGTGTGTGTGTGTGTCTGTGTGTGTAATCTCATAAATTCTAAATCTAATGATTAGATTATTAATCACTTCACATGAGCCCCACTTCTCAACATTATGGTGGGTTCAGTTTCCATCTTCTCAATTCTATTAACTTACAACTAAGAGGATGAAACTCACAAGCTATGTTAGAACCATAGCAAAGGGTAACTGCGGTCATCCTTTTCATAGGCCTGTAGAAGTATTGTATTCTAAATTCTTTATGGTTCTAAACCAGCCAACAATTGATATTCTTTAATCTTAGTTTTACTTGAGAATACGCACCAAGAATATTTATAGTGGCTCCAAGTGGTAAGGTTTAAGTTGCTGAGATTCTTTCAGATAAGAGCTAGGTAAGGGGATGCACATTATACTCCCGGCTACACACAGAAGAAGATAAAGTAGGAGTACTGGGCTTAAGATTAGTTCTGAACAAAAGCATTAAGCACTGTTTAAAAAGAAATGAAAGCAAAAAGTGCTAGATGTGTGTCTCAGGTGGTAGAGCCCTCAGTAACTGTGGGGCTCTGAGTTCAAATCCCAGTACCACAAAAAGATAAAAGAGAAAAGTCTGAATCGTGGATCTAGAATATCAAAAAAGGTACCTACATGTTTCTAAGCCAGTCTCTACAAAAAATAAAAATAAAAATCAAGTATCAGGTGTTCCGGGACATCCTATGTTTGGAAAGGGAGGCAGCATATAAACTGTCTGGAAGTAATTTCCAGCATTGGACATTTCTTTCCTCCATTTTTTACCTATCTCAGATTTCTATCTGGAAACTAAATTATGTTGAATAGAGGGCAGACCTGCAGAGTTCTATGGTAGCGTAATCCTAAGGCTGGGTAGAATTTTGTAGTCATGTCCATTTACTTGAAGTATCTGCTCTCATTTTTAAAAAAGAAAGAAAAAAAGAACCTGGAAGGAACCATGACTCTTTAGAGTACTAAATAATCACTAAGAGAGAAATACTTTATAAAGGACAAGATTAAGACCTCACAACATAACTTGATTTAAAATTGTGTGACTTGATAGGACCAATACTGGAACAAATTTGTGTAATCAGTTTTTGTATTTTCTTTTATTCTCCTCTGTTTGTCATCCCTCTGTAGAGGACTGCCATTGTCAAGAGCAGCTCATAAGCCTCTGGCAGTTAGAAAAAATCAGACTTGCAATTCCAATAGAGAAACTTGGCCTCTTAACTCTGTATATTTGGGTGATCTTTACATGGCCGCTGGTGCTTTGTATTTCAGAGGCTTTTGCCTCTCAGGACTGATGCTGACAGTGATCATTAATATGATCATTAGCCTGTCGCTTATTTTTCACTCAGTTTGAATTCGTGGCAATGGTACATTTGAATTGCTTGATTGGCAGATGTGTTGGTGGATAGAAGGGGAAATAATTGCCAATTTACAATGCAATAACAGAACATTCTACTGATGTGTGTGTGTGTGTGTGTGTGTAGGTCTGTATTCTTATATTGTTGGCAGTACTAGTGTTTGAATTCTACCATTTGAACCACACCCCCCAGCCCTGCTTTTTGCTTTCATTTTGGCAATGTAGTCTTCCCAGGCAGGTTTCAAACTGCAAATCTCTGGATTTTGGTTTTACAGGCTTAAGCCTGGCTGAATGTGTTCTCTTCATAGGAGAAAGAGGAGTTTTTAACATCCTTTCTTGTTTGTTGTTGTTGTTTTTTAATGAAAATATAGTACATCAGTAGTGTACATACACTGGTTTGGGGGTCTTTTTTGCTTCTAATAGTCCCAGAAATAATAGTCAAATTTGGTTTATGGGTGTTTAAAAACCTTTCCCGTAAGTTTTAGGTTTTCAAAAGAGAATTTGTTGAAATCTGATCAATGAAGCATCATTTGTTTTCTTGGTGTCATCTGTAGGATGAATACAAGCCAGAGAAAGCCTTGTCTGAGGAGGACTTGAAGAACGCTGTGAGTGTGCACCACGCCCTGGCTTCCAAGGCCACCGACTATGAGAAGAAGCCCAATGTGTTTAAGCTCAAAACTGCCGACTGGAGGGTCCTGCTCTTCCAAACCCAGTATGTTTGTTGGTGTGCTTCTTTTTCCTTTTTTTCTTAAATGTTAATTTGATTAACACTCTATGTTAGGAATAGAATCAGACTCTGTAGGGACATTTTTAAAAATTGAAGACAAATCATTAACTTGTTACACTTTAGAAATCACTATACAAAGATTATTATAAGAAGTAGACTCCTTGGGCTCAAGGATGTTGTCTGATATAAAACAGCTCTGTTTTTCTAGAACTGGCTGTCCTTATCAATAAAATATGAATGCTTTAGTAGACAAATACTCTCACAAAATGAGTAAAACAGGCCTGGGTTCAGATTACCCTTGCCTAGCTCTTTCTCCTAGCGTGTAATTTTCCAACCTGGTCAAACCTGTTCTTACCGCTCTGGTGGTGAAAATGTTTATTTCAGAGGGGGGTCTGGTAACAGTTAAATGAGATAATACATGAAGCACCTCCCACAATGTCTGGAAGGTAGAAGCTCTTTAGTAAGTGTAAATTTTTATCTTATTCTCATTTCTCTCTGAGCTCTGATAGTCTGTGATTATTCTAGAAACAAAAGACAAAATCACATTGTCTAGTAAGAGGTCTGGAGACTGATTTCAGATTAGACAGAACATTTCACAGGAGGAATTCTGGACTTGTAAAGAGCTTTGAATTTTCGCTAGGAAACTACTTGAGCATGATTGGACCTCACCTCTGAATCACCCACAGCATTGCGCTCTTGAGGTGACCCCAAGTGACAGTGAATTTAAAATTTGATATTAAAGTGATGAATTCAGGTATCTTTCTGCTTGTTAATCAAAACAATGTAAGATGAAAAAATAATGGCCAGGCACTGGTGGCTCACACCTGTAATCCTAGCTACTCAGGAATGAGATCTGAGAATCAGGATCACAGTCCAAAGCCAGTCCAGGCAGGAAAGTCCACGAGACTCTTATCACCAATCAGCCACCAAAAAACAGTAAGTAGAGCCATGGCTGAAAGGGGTCCAGCACTAGGCTTGAGCAAATAAGCTCATCAACAATGCCCTGAGTTCAAAACCCATGACCACTACCACCAACAACAACAAAAGACAAAATCTTCCACTCTGGAAATTTACAGATACTTTGAAGGCATGAATTTGCTGACATGAGGTGATATAAGCAAACAAGTTACTGTGGAGTAGGGGTGAGCATGGGGTAGAATAGTTACCCCTCAAAGGAACACACTGCCAGATGTATGATTGCAGCTATTAGTCAAAGTCTTTCAGATTATACTATCCCCTAATATTTTCAAATTTTAAAATAGCTGATGTAATACCTAGAGAGATGTAACTGCTTTAGTTAGAACTCATGAAAAAGGCAGTCAGGAAATAACTGAGCTGGAGAAATGAAACTAAGAGGCTCCTAGGTGCAGTGAGGAGCTGGTGTCTTGTGGTATCAGGGTAGTAAGGTTTAGATTAGGCTGATATTTTTCACCTCTTGTTTAGTAGCCATATGTATGGTAGATCATCTTTTCTAGTTTGTGACTATTTAAACACTCATTTTATGAAATTATGAAATGGGTTGGGGGATATAATTACACATCAAAGTATGATCATGCCATCAGATGATTTCCATCTCAGGCTTCGTATTTTTTCTAACAGTTTTGTACCTTATATAAAGTATAATGAAAACTTACCCGCTTCAAATTTGTATTTCTATGCGTTTTGTAAATTTCCAAATTTACTACATCCACTTTTGGAACACTTCCATCATTCCAGAAGATTCCCTTGTTTTGCCATCACCTTCAACCTAGGCCCTCACTGTCTACTTTCTGTCTCTTTAGAATTGCTTTCTATGAACCTCTTGTCTACTTTCTGTCTCTTTAGCATTGCTTTCTATGAACCTCTTGTATAAGTGGAATCACACAGAACATGCTTTTTTGTTCCTGGCTTCTTTGATTTATTTTATTGGTGAATACAATTTGATTGTGAGGGTATATATCCATTTGCTAATTGATAGACTGCCCAGTTATTTCCCCCTTTTTGATTTTTAGAAATAAAGATGTCTTATAGCCATACAGATCTTTGTGTGCTTATAAGTCTTTTTTTCTTTCTGGGTATTTCTTTAAGAATTGCTAGGTTGTAGACTAATCTAGAGTTAATTTTTGAAGAAGCCATCAAATTGTTTTCTACAATGAGCATATTTTTCTTTTATAATCCCTGCATCCATGAATTCCTCAGCTAGATTCCAAAATAAAATTATTTGGTTAAAAGAAATGAATTGATTTTTGACCTAGCCTAGTATCGAACAGAAAATAAAGGTTTAATAAATATACTTCTCTTTTTTTTACCCATTTTAGCCTAGGAAGCTGATCCCAATCTTACACTATGATCAGCATGGATTGTAGACCTTGTACGGTTTCAGTGATCACAATTGAGAATTCTCTGGAGAAGTTTTCTTAGGGTTTTACTGTTATTTTTTAATCAATAATAAGAAGTAGGCAAAGGGTAATGTACTTGTATATGTAAATACTCTAATATGACTATGTCTTTCTTTCCCAGGAGTCCTGAGGAGATGCAAGGATGGATAAACAAAATTAATTGTACTGCAGCAGTATTTTCTGCACCACCATTTCCAGCAGCCATTGGGTCTCAAAAGAAGTTCAGCCGCCCACTTCTGCCTGCCACTACAACGAAATTATCTCAGGTAACTCACTTGACAGACTTTTCACTTGGAAAAAAATATAATCTTAATAATATTTATAATTTTATAATAATATAGCAATAATATTTATAATCTTATTTAAGAGTACATAATATCTTGAGGGCAGATGGGATCCTTTGACCAGTTAGGGCTATTGTACAATGGGGTAATGCAATGTACTGGGTTTATATTTACTCGTGTAATTTTTAACTAGCCAATGTTGGGTTATTCCTAGCTTCCTAGCAAGATTTTCTTCTATCTGCTCATTAGTTAATTTTACTTATCATTGACTGTATTTGGTGCTAGCTGTACACAAATATTTTCAATATTCACTGGTCACAGTGCTGTAGATAGGGCCTTCTTCTACACTCAGAGTAGAACTGAATGGAACATTTGGACTTTGTGGGTTTGGGGAAGTTTTGTGGGGCTGGCAATCAAACCCACAGCCTTACCTATTCTAGATAAGTTCTCTATCACTGAGCTGTGTCTCCAGCAACATTAGGGATTTCTAGGCTAATCAAAGGTAAATTAAACCAGGCATATTTACATATTTACTTTTTATTGTTATTATAAAAGTAATGTACAGAGGAGTTACAATTTTGTAAGTCTCCCCTGCCCTCGCTTTCTCCCAGTTTTTCCCTCCTGACCCCCCTCACAAGTTGTATAGTTTTTTCTACATAGAGTCTAGTGAGTATCACCGCTGCATTTGTACACTCTTTGTCCCACCATTTCTGTGCTCCCCAAAACAGATAAACTTACATATAAGACAGAGGGTACAGAAATCAAAAACAGTGACAAGGAGAAAATAAAACAATACAAAATAACAAAAAAAACTTGTGTTTCCATTTCTTGGAGTTCATTTTAATAAATATCATTTTATATGTTCATATGTCCATAGCTATTTAGCCTTTATGATCCTCTCCTAAGAATAGCCTCCTTTTGTCTCACTGAGTAAATGTCTAGAGTCCTGTATAATTTTTCATGTCCTTTCCCATTCATTATATTTCCTTGAAGATTTATAGACACATTCCAGTTATAACAAATGAGGGAAATCATACAACCTGTGTTTCTTTGGGTCTGGCTTACTTTGCTTAATATATTTTTTTCCAGGTCTTTCTATTTCTTTACAAATTGTACTTCATTCTTTCTAATGGAAGCATAAAATTCTATTGTGTATATATACCACATTTTTTGATCTGTTCATCCACTTAGGGGCATCTGGGTTGACTTCACATCTTGACTATGGTAAAGAATTCTGCAATGAACATGGTTGTGCTGGTAGCTCTAGTATGGCCTTGTTTGTGGTCTATTAGATAAATGCCCAGAAGTAGATTTTCTGGGGCAAAAAAGAAACTCTCTGTTTAGTCTTTTGAAGAACTTCCATACTGCTTTCCAGAGTGGTTGAACAAGTTTCTATTCCTACCAACAATATAGTAGTGTTTCCTTTTGGCCACATTCCTGCCAGCATCTGGTGTTGTTAGTTTTCTTGACAATGGCCATTCTAACTGGAGCAAGGTAGAATCTCAATATTATTTGGATTTGCATTTCTTTTATGGCCAGAGATGTTGAACATTTTTTCATGTGTCTATTGGTCATTCATAACTGCTTTTTTTAATTGTCCAGCTCTTCTTTCTTAAAACCATGTTTTGCCATATTCCTGTCCTACTTAGAGATGTTTTATTGCACTACTAAGCTTAAACCTGTCTGCACTACCCCACTACCATTGCCCCACGAGGCTACCCTCTTATTTCTTACAATAGAAATAGCAGAATCTTGCTGTGATCACCCAGGTTTTGAGGGTTCAAATCATTTAAGCCTGTCTGCCGTATTGCAGGCTTTTGGGTGCTCTCATGTCTCCCAGTGTCTTCAGGGTGTAGTTTTTAGCAAGATAGTACTGCATTCAAAATTGTACTTTAGAAATTATTCTCACGACAATGTGATAAAAGTGAGAGAAGTCACCACTAGGAGAAAGGCCTTCAATAATCTGAGCAGAATAAGTTACCTGTAGCAGAAAGGCATAGATAAAAGTATTTGAGCACACAGAATATGTATAGCTCCAGTGTCTTTTTGAAATGGGAAGAAGAGCTGTTACCTAGAGTCAGACAGCTGGGAACTGATGAGATATAGGGAAACTCATCTTGCCATCTCTTGCTTTCCTTATATGGGTGTTTCAGAGTCTTACCTTCCTATCTTCAAATATTGTGGTGTCCAGTGTTCAAACACAGACTAAGACATTTTTAAGTTACTTGGTTAAAAATTAACCAAACATGGAGAATGTTGTGTTAAGATAAACATGGAAAGGAGGAAAAGAAAAAGATGTTCTCACCTGGTGAGAGCAGTTTGGGTTGGAGTTGTGGGAATATGTTATGTTCCTTGACTACAGAATGGAAAGAAGTGAGGAATGAGTCTTACTATAAGTTATAAGAGTAGTAGGAAGAGAGTTGACATGCTTTCCTATTTTCTTCATGCTGATTTGTATTAATATGTTGGATCCTTGCTATATTACATTACTATTGCCATGAAATTTAGTTATATATTAACTAAAAAACTTAGCAGTAGGAAGGACCAATCTATTTCAGCTTACAGGGAAGAATGGCATTTATTTTTCAAAGGTAATAAATAGAATTGGACATTGCCAGATGTCCTGTGGGGTCAGATCCACCCCTTCTGTTGAGATCCACTGCTTTTAACCCAGGATCTCTCTTCTGGATCTCTCAGGCTGACCATCTTTCTTTTCTCCACCAACCTAAAACCTGCCCATGACTCTCCTAAATACCAGAACCTCTTGGGCAATTTCCATTTATAAACTATCTATTACAGCAATATGAGTGCCCTGCTGAGAAAAAAAGATAAACAATGTGAAGAGAAAATTAAATATTCAATTAAAAGATTGTTTGGTACTTTTAAGACACATTGTTTGTCACCCTGTCATTTGTGAGCTTTGCTTTAATTTATTCTTGTCTTCTCTCCAAAGCTTATTAGCCTCAATTATTAAAATTGATCATTGTCAGTGCAGTACGGTTCTTCCTGAACAGCTCTGCTGTGTAGGAGTCACCTTTTCTACTTGTTTTTCATGACAGTGTTGTCAGAGCACATTTGTCTTCTGTTGTGGGTGAAGATACTACGTTGAAATTCAACTTGTTTTCTCCCTTCTAGTAGAGCTCTCCAAATGTAGAATTTCATGGTTGGCCCCCTTTAGGATCTATTCAGGGTCTGCTTTTATAACCACCAAGAAAACTATTTTCAGGCTTGAATATGCATAAGGATTATCCTAGAACTTGTGCAACATGCCTTATTCACAGCTCCACCAAGGGGTTTAGATCCAGTCTGTACCAAGAGTTCCTTATAAGCCAGGTGAGAGGCCCAGAGCTGGAGTCCGTCATACGTAGACACACTATACTGCAGTTTCTGCTCTTTCAAGCCTTTCCATGCTTCTCTACTTACTTTTACCTCATGGGGTCAGTTCTCATGTTCAGTTCCCAGTCCTTTGAATTCCAGCCATTCTCTTGCAGAAGTTTGAGTGAATGGATAATCAGTAAATAATAAATGCTGAACATTGCAATGAGTCAAGCTATATAGTGATCAAGGGGAAGTTAGTGTCTGCTTCTCACATTAATGTAGGCCCAGCCAGTAGTGTCAAGGGCAGAAGAAGAGCAGCATTGGGAGGGCGGCATTCAGAAGAAGCCATTCTTGGGATTGCCTCCTTCACGGGCCAAAACCACACCCTACCCCACTTCCACTCTACTGTGTCCTGCACATTCTACCCCAAAGTTCCGTCACTTTATCTCATCAGTTTCCTTCACATTCTGCTCTTGCTCCTGCTCTTTACTTTAGCCTTTTGTCATGCTTACCTAGATTCGTTTTCATTTTCTTCATCAATATTAAATATTTGAGTAGATATCCTCCAATATTTTGTAAATAAAATATACTATATGTCTTACTGTCAACCCAAATAGTAATATTTCATATTTCTTAGAGTTTAAAAACTTTCTCAATGCCTAAGGAATAGCCCCCTCTCCCCCCAAAATACCTTAGAACTTTAGGCACAATTACAGGATATGAGAATTTTTGTAGAACAGGTATGTATGTATGTATGTATGTATATTTTAATTAGCTTCTCTTTGTTTACCTTTATTTATTTTGTGCTATAAAGATGAAATTTATATTTAAGATTTTGGATAATTTGCATGGGAAAAAGAATAATAAGCTGTATACAATTTTAGGAATACAAGAGAATTCATACATCTTTGTTTCAAGTATGATTTCAAACTATTGCAGGAAGGTGACTTATGCTAATGGATTTCTCCTGACACGGAATCAGTTGTTCATGGTCCTGTTGCCCAGTACTTGTATTAATGCTGTTGTGATGATAATCAATGGGTACATTTTAACTCAGGGAAAACCGGAAGTCAGTGGAATTGAGGTGCAAAATCTCTGCTATTTGGAGAGAAGAAACAGCTGTATTTTGCTCTTTTTAGAATAATACCTGATAGATTTCATGTATTATTTCCAAAGGGAAAACATGATATGAAGACAAATTCATTGTGATGGGTAGACAGTTGACTAGCAGCATTGCTGAGTGAGCATGAATTGGTGGTGAAGTAACTTATATGGCTCTAAGGCTAGGAGCATAATTGCTCACCTGGTGACTTGCCTATTAAGAGTTTCTCTCAAGATACATTGTATTCCCAAACTGATATGTCTGTACCATTACTTAAAGATAATTTAAAAAGAGGGAGAGAGTCTTGGTCCCAACTGGGTGACAGTTACAGCCGATAAAAGGCTCTGAAGCCATTTAGTGTTGTGGTAAGGGGCCCGGTTATGGAGGCTGGTCTCAGTGGCCTTCCTAGGAAAGCATGAAGAAGCACTGGCTGCATCTATTGGTCAGAATGGTGTAGCAGCAGAGCCGCAGGACTTTTGATGGAATAAAGTCATTCCCCATAAGGGATTCTTGAAAATCTGCTACTTTGTTTATCGATTCACTTTGTGCACTCTAAGTGGCTTAGTCATTTCCTACAGGAGGAACAGCTGAAGTCTCATGAAAGCAAACTGAAGCAGATTACCACAGAGCTGGCTGAGCACCGCTCATATCCTCCTGACAAGAAGGTCAAAGCCAAGGATGTAGATGAATACAAGCTGAAAGATCACTATCTGGAGTTTGAGGTAGGTGAACCTAAATGTGAATAAACACTTATTCTGTCATTTGTCCGTGGGGGCAGTGGAGGGAAGCTTTTAACTATTACTGTCATGGTAGAGAGCTTGCCTTGACCCTGATTCTAATTTTGGACTTCCTAACGTAGCTGGTCCTGGTGGCCCCTCAGTTTGTGATTCTATTTAAGTGTCAAACACAGATCAAAGAATGATGGCCAATTTGTTCACTTAAAAGCAAACAGACAACCTGGTTGGAATAGTGTGTGAAGTTACAAGAAAAGAACAGTGGGGCACTGCCAGAGTGGACAGCTACTTTCCATGTCTGTGTGTCTCTTCCAGCAGAGTTGGAAACAAAAAAATAAATAGAAAGCTAGGTATTGGTGGCTTATGCCAATAATCCTAGCTAGATCTGAGCTCTGAGGATTATGGTTCAAAGTCAGCCCTTGGGACAGGAAAGTCTATGAGACATTTGTCTCCAATGAATCACACACAAAAAAAGTGGAGGTGTGGCTCAAATGGTAGAGTGCTAGCCTTGAGCAAAAAAAGCTGAGGCATGGTGCCTAGGACTTGAGTTCAAGCCTCAGGATCAGCACATATACTTGTGCAAAAATGTAGGAGACTAGATATTGGGGATCATACCTGTAATCCTAGCTACTCAGGAGGCTGAGATATGAAGATTAAGGTTCTAAGTCAGTCTGGGCAGAAAAACCCCTGAGACTCTTTATCTCTGGTTAACCAGCAAAAAGTCAGAAGTGGAGGTGTGGCTCAGGTTGTAGCACACTAGCCTTGAGCATAAAACCTAAGGGACAACACTGAGGTCCTGAGTTTAAGCTCTGGTAAAAATAAATAAACAAACAAACAAACTAAATGGAAGAAATAAGCCTACAGCATTTTCTCCTGTCTGCAGTCCTGCTATTACTCAGTGCCAAGCATTTTCCTTGCTGCTACTCACTGCCCTTCGAAAGGGATTGAGAAATTAATTTGGGGCCCATTTCTCCTGGAGAGCCCGTATGGTTATTGGAAAGAGCGATGTGGATCCTTGCACTGTGATATGGAAAGACAGAACATTTAGAAGCCATCTAAAGGAATTGTATTTCCAAATGTTTCCTTTGGCAAGTTCTGTCCAAGATAGTGTCATGGTGCTCCAACTCTCCCCCTTAGCCATCACCGTTAAAGTGTCTTTGTAAAAAGGGATGCATGTAATCCAAAACAGAATCAATTTTCAGCTTTTCAGGTATAATTTCCTGTTGGTTGTGCTGAACCTCTACAGCTGTGTTTATCCACTGAGGCTCTAGTCCATTCCATCCCCCTCCTTCTCCTTCCTTTCTATGTCGCTCTCCTGCTTCTTCCTCACACTTGAAACTGGCATTATCATTGCTTGCGCAGTGACTCACAGCTGTCTTTTCCTGACCATGGTGCTTATTTTCTTCTCTGCTTAGTCCTATCTTTCTCATCTCATACTTGAGCCTGACAGTTGTATCCGCTCTCTCTTCTCCCTCATTTCATCCTCCATCCTTTTCCAATTAGTTTTCTGAAGCTCAACCCAGATAGTGGCAATGTTGTACTCAACAGCTGCCCTGGGGTGCCCTCAGGGAGCTCTACCACTTCCCTTCAGAGAGGATTTCCTTTCCATAACACTGGTCTTTCCTGTGTCAGCCTCTGTGTACTGAAGTTGCATGCCTGCAAATGTGTTTCCCCCCACCCAACACATTTTTATCTTTTTCTTCATCTGCTTTCTTCTGCCTGGAATGCTTTCCTACCATCTGCATTTCTGCAAGTCCTTATACATTTAAAGTACAGCCCAAATCCTTGCTCTGAAAAGCCTGCCCTAGACCTACCACTGAAGTTCCTCTGCTTCAGAACTCACCATAATTTGCATTATTAGTAGTTGTGTTCCTCTGTTCTTGTGTCTGCATTCCTCTGTTCAGGACTGTGGGCTCTAATCGTGCAGGGCCTCAAGCCTCAAGTTCACTTCCTGTTTGTGCTCTCTCTCATCTCTCAAATTGAGAAGGATTCCATAAAGGCCTTAATAAATCAAACTAAATAAAACTTCCTCAGGTGTAAAATTTTTATCACCAAATGTGGACTCTAAACTTAAAAGATGGCATGTTTACTGCAGATCTATAAACTATTTTTCTCCATAGTCAAGCAAGTGCTTGCTCTGGTTGGATGAAGATACCAGGAGATATGTTCCTTTTGATAATGGCAAAAGTTTATTAGCAAAATCTATAGGCGACTTACCAGCAGAACACTTGAAAAATATATATTAAAAAGGAAACAGGGAGCAACAACAACAACAAAAAAAGCGTAAGCAGCTCATCTTTCCCCAGCGTGTTCATTCTTGGGAAATGGGAGTTCTCAAGAAGCAATCATTATTCTTCACACTCTAGACTAGCTTTAAGCCAGAAGCCCATTTTGTTTCACACATTCTAATTAAATTTCCCAACACCTCAGTCCCCCGCTTCCAGCACTCAGCACCTAGCTTTGAGCCCTTGACTTGGAAGGGGAGGAGACTGTCCTCAGAAGGTGGGATGACTGCAAGGTCAATGCAGGATGATCTCTGGGGAGTACATGCCCTGCCCAGGGATCTTGTATGGCCTTCCTTTCCTGAACAGGTAGTGCGGCAAACACCAGTATTTTCTCATTCTCTTGACATGAAGCTAGACCAGCTCTGGGATATTAAATCTTGCTTTCATCAAATTGTCTCCTCGAGGAGCACAAAGTTTGCATTCCAGACCCCTTGACTCATTAAAGTCAGACACATGCTAATACATCAAATGTGTGGGATTAACCTGTGTCTTCTAGGAAGGTAGAAAACAACCTCACTTTGTAGGCATATCATCCAAAAAGGTTTATGTAGAAAGAATGAATCGTTGTTTTTCACTAACTTAAATGAAAATTGAAGCCATGTTTACTATAGTCCATGGAGCTATGACTTTAGCAACCAGAATTCATCTGCTGGGAAAGCTTACAATGGCCCTTGCTTAGCATCTTTTGCTTTATAATAACATTTTCTGAGCAAGTTGCTTCTCCCTCTGGATATACAATAAATAGATAGTTCTTGACTAATGTATATCATTCGTAGTTCTCTCTCTCTCTCTCTCTCTCTCTCTCTCTCTCTCTCGCTCTGTCAAGATCCTAGAATATTGATCCTAGAATATGTACTTGGTACATATTTGTTGAGTGATTTAGTAAAATTTTATCATTTTGTATAAAAGATAGCATCAGTGGAAGTAGAAAACCTGTAGCCAGGGCCAGAAGCTCCTCTGAGAGCAAGTCTGGTAGGCAGGTGAGACAGACAGTCGCCAGTCCCATCTGCTTTCTCTGATAAGAAATTGCAACCAGTGGTGATGTCTCTCACCTGTTCTTTGTTGGATCATCATTCACATGCCTCCTTTGGTTTCAGAGCAATTCTATTAATCTTAACCAGTCTTGGTAAGGAAAAGCACTTTTATTCTGGCTGGATATCAAGCTGTTAGTGATAACATGGGAATATTGCTGTGTTTATGAGTCAGTTCAAACATTCCTTCCTGGTGAGCCAGGTTCTCAACTCCTTCTGTTCTTAAGAAATCACCATATCCTCATTCCAAGTAAATAGTAGAAATTCCAGTAGACTTAGGGTCAGAGTTTTTTTTCTGTTAATCATGTTAGTCTGTTAAAAAAGGATTCATTTTTTACTTATAGGAGCAAAATTCATGCATACTTCTCTCTCTGACTATTGATTGGAATGCAAGGGAGTTTGGTTTGCTTGGGGTTTATTTTTGCTTAATTGATCAAAATAAATAACAAAATTAACTCCTTACTTGTGAAAGATTTGTTAAACCTAATAGTTCCATAGTGAAACACTTAGTTATTTTCTAATTTCTTAAAATAAACATTCATCATCTGTGAGGCCGAGACAATAGAATTTCAAAATCAACTTCAGCCAGGGCTACCAGCAACTTCCAGGCTGAGTTATATTTTTCCAAACCAAACCATGACTGGGGCTTGAGCTATTGAGAGATTTACTGAAGAGGGATTATGCAAGGTCAGATTGATTGAAGGCTCCCAAGTGTCATTGTAGCTCCAGCTGAACCATGGTGGCCAACGTAACTCATAGCAGACCAAAGGTCAACCTGTTCTCTTGGGCCAGCTGAATTTGTAGACGATGAATTCATTTGGGAAGGACAAGCTATCTTCTTCCCACTGCTCCCACTGTATCACATTCAATAGCTTTCTGCATTTGTGATAGTGGTCTGGTCCCTAGAGTTTGCAAACCCTTTTACAGAGACTGCAGCCAGAGTGTAGGCTTTGAGTACAACTTTTGAATGTGGGCTTTAAATTGATTATTTTGATGTGGTTTGAATGTGTCACACACGGGTCATGTCTCAGAAACAATCCTCAGTGCAAGTATTGGGAATGTGTTCAGTCCTCTTTTGCCCTTTCTTGCCTCCTGACTTCCACTATAGGATGAAACAGCATGAAGCTTCATAATTTTCCATTATTTGCAAAATACTCAGTCTCAGATAATCTGCTTTTGCCACTTAAAACAGAGCAAGACAGATAATCAGTGCAAAGATATTGGAAAGACTTCTCTAACCAATAGCTGAAAATGCGGAAGTGGGTTGTGAGAGGTGTTGAAATAGTTTTGAAGTGAGTGCTACCGAAGCCTCTACTTTAGGTCTCAGGTTAAACAGAGAGAATTGGGGGTCAGGGGTATGAAAAATATGCAGAGTTACAACAGTCTCTAGTCACAGGTTGCCCATTAGCTCAGCCTTTATTTCTGAGGAGTTCCAGACAAGTTAGCCTTCACCACTGTAGGGGAACCAGTGTGGGGGACAGTGGTCTGAGAGCGGTCTCCTTAACTTTTGACTATTAAAAAAAAAGATGATAAGAAGATGGCATTGCTTTTATCTATGAATTCTTCTTTCCTGGAGCCCAAGATGGTTGTAAAGTGACTGCAGTGGATAATAGTGCAGATCGAAGGGCACAGGCACAAAGATGGGGAACTTTTAGCTAATTCAGATGCCCAA